GACTTGTTTGGTAATGTTTCTCCAACTTTCTTCTCCGTGTTGGGTTTAATTAAAAAACGAGGTTTTTTATCGAGATGTCGGGTGTCAGGTGTTGAGTCTCCCTGAAAATGGACAATATGAGCAGGATACGGGGGAAGGAGAACGGGAGAGGATGGCCTGAAAAGATATGCGTGGAATGTCGGGGGGTGGTGATACTGTCGTCTCGTATACTCCATGCATATTGCGGAAGAAGTCTTCACGAGCTGCTGCCCAAGGAGCATATATAAGGGGGCCGCCGGAGAAGGACAGTTGGGTGGAAGGGGGTGGTATATCGTATGAGTTATTAAGATAGTTGCGCGCATGCTCCCGCCTCTTTCATCGATTCATAAGAATATCCTGTCTTCGTTTGGTGGATGTAAGTATGTGTGGAAAATCCAGTGCCGTGACATCTCAGATATCCTTATGAGTGCACAACCCCTGTGGGGAGAGTCCACACGTTATGTGGGAATGGATGAATGTGAAAATTTACTGTACTCATATTGTAAACATTGAGAAATCATCCACATTCGATGGCGTAATTTTTCATACAACTCCGGATAAATTTACCAAATTACCCTGAAGTTTAGTAAATTTCTTGGAACAAGCGGAGAAAAATTCACCACTTATCTCACATTTTTTCCTCGATATTGAGTCAAAAAGACCTCAAACTGAATTTCCCTCCACGATTACTTGATTTGTTTGCTAATTTTTCCCCATTCGAAGATATCGAATAATGTTTTAAAACTCGAATAAAATACAAATCAATTTGATTTTCCACCGCAATAATCAACACAGACAGTAGTTGTAGCCGTGTCGCTGAGGTCACGCCTTCTTTCTCTCGTGATGAGAAACCGGTATAGCCTTTCCCTCTTATTCACAAATACACTCGTCTCGCTCATTCTTTCTCCACTATAAGTTTCTCAGTAAAAACGACACGTGGGCGGTGCAGAGGTGAACGGTATTATACAAGGGAGTCTTTGGAATAACTGACGGTATTCTCCGCGGATGAAATAAAATATTGAGCGTTTATAAGCTGCAGCCGGTTAAATTATTATTGCCTGGGCAGTACGCGTGTGTCCCAACCCTTCCACAATGCGTCCTATACATTTGAGTGTTGTTTACGGGTGGAGTCGATAAAATGAGGGTATGAATGATGCGGTTGTAAACATGTATCGTTAAGTTAAACCTTGGGATGTTGAAAAAGAAAGAATTGGAGGATTTCAGATGCGTTGGGATAAATAATTCTGGTGCACTGTGAAAACTAGGGTTTCAAGACGTTTTAATTTGAGGTATTAAACACAAAAATGTGTCCTACTGGCTAACTTCTATTCAGATACTGGACATTTATAATGGCAGCACTACGACAAGATATTAACTCCGTTACGATACGAAATCCCAAGACATTTAGATGATTTATAAATTTTTTTTCCAATTTACTAAAGTTCTGAATTTATTGAAAGAGGTGAAAGCACGATGAGGGAGGACAGCGTGGTTTTTGGTAAAAAAAATGAGGCATCATGAGTTTGAAACAAGAAGTCCTCGAGTAAGTTACCTATATAGAATGTCTAGAATGCATGTATTTATATCTGAATTTGAGACACGAAAAACAACTTAAACTAGGGGACACAAAGGTCTTAAAAAAGGAGACAAAAGTGTCTTAACTTTAGGCACCAGTTTTTCTAGTGTAGTGGCAATGGGTATTTTTGGGTACGACACTGAGGTTGAGGGAGAAGCATGTGTACTGTTTGTCGGTGGGAAAGTGTGGGAATTTAAGGGTGGGTGGGGGTGGGTTTTTAAGGTTGAAGTGGCTAGCCTGGATCGCCTCGGGGCGCGAGTGGGGGTGATCTATGCGTTTAATTAACCATAGAGACGCTTCTGCCCCAACTCTTAGCCACTCTTGGTTCAGGGCTGGACGGTACTGATGGGGTTGCCTCAGTTGTGGTGGTACTTACGGCCACTAACCTCGGTGTGAGGCGAAGTGAGAGAAACAGAGAGGGCTGGTTACATGAGAAGCCTTGAGAAAAGAATGAGAGAGGAGAGTGAGGGCGGGTAGTTCGCTATTGCCGACGGAATTAACCCCCGGGAAAAACTTATAATGTGTCTTGTTAGGAAAGGGCGAAGTAAGGGATGGTGGCTGGAGGTGGATGCGGACAAGCTGATACACCCAGAGACCACACGTTCAATGGCCTCCGCTTATGCCTCGGAATTCAGTGGTGATTAATTTCAAAATTAATGGTGAGGACAAGAGGACGCGCTTGGCTTTTTCCTCTTTACTCCAGTGGACATAATTTATTTGTCGTTAGGTATTTGCGATAAATGCGGGTTGAGTGACAGCCGACGGGGGATGAAAAATAAAGGGAATTGAGTTCTGCAGGTAACTTCGTACCGAGGGTTTTCCCACTATCATTGTCGATGATTCCTCCTCACCCCTCGATTCTTGACTATTTCTATGGTCATTGGCAGTCACATCGAGGGAGACATAATGGAGCCAGCACTGCCCCTTTTCACAAGAGAAAATTATGTTTGAAAAATATAAAATCGTGGGAGGGTAATTGTACCGATGATAATCGATAAACAATTTGCCTTGTGTTTTTTTTCTTTCTTTTGTCATTCACATGTTTCTGTTTTGAAAGGCTTTCTACAATGTTTCAATGGCCCAGAGGAGCGTCGGTTTGGGCGCGGTGGAGCAATTATAATAATTACCGGAATATGGGGGACGCAATCAGGATCACCCAAGCGGGCGAAACGCACTCTGATTACGCTTTCTCACTCTTTTATACATATTTTATGGCTGCAGTGGGCTTTTTTATTGTTTCATCGGGGTGCTCTCTCTCTCTCTCCCTCACCCACTAAATCCAACGGCCTTCGGCTGTACGTGGCAAGTGTGGACACACGTTTGCGTTGATGTAATCACTCCCCCATTTTTTCCAACTCCCTCGACTGTCAAATGTATTTATTCCAATTTTTTTTTCCCTCTAGTTTTTTGATTTTTTGTGTTTCTTCAGGAAGAATTAACGCCGCTCCCTAATTACCTGCGATGCCAACGGCCCCTGAATTATATTGCGTGTTTATAAACGTACTGGCATTTATATTTTTATTTCTCTCGGGTTGACAAAACACGCGATTAAAATTCGGGGAATCGTTATTAATTATGAAGTTTAATTATTTGGTTCATTTTTTTCTTTTTGCTGTGTCATTAATAGTTCAGTCGTATTTTTTAAAATGAAATTCATGGAAACTTGAAAATATTGCAGATTGATATATTTTATGATTTGAAAATGAAAAAAAAAAGGCAAAAATGCGGTAAAATACAAGACATTCGTTTGTTAATTTAGAATAACAATTCTTCAGGTCCAATTTAATTGTCCGACTAATCTCCATAATTCAGGAATAAATTTATCCATGGTAGTTGGTCTAGACTCGTCACAAAGGGAAAGAAATTGTCCCATTTAATTGAAAATTGAATCACCCATTGACATTTCTTCAATAAAAATCCAAAGTGTCCATTCAGCCTCACTAGTCTCACATATATTTTTCCATGACAAATTACCACCAATTAATACTTCATAAAAAATCGATTAGTCAACGGTAATTTTGCACCAGTTAATACCCATGTAATCAAGCACTCCTGCGCGTGGCACATGTGCAACCAGAGTACCTCGACATCGAGAGCGAGCCGTCACATCCGTGTGTCAAGTGACGAGAGCGGAAGTGGGCCGTAATAAAAGAGTGACTTCCGTCGGTGAAACAATAAGTCTGGAATAACCATGCCTTCCGCGATTCATGAAATGTGTGCATTACCCACGATAGCTATTATTATCCCATTTTACCGGCTAATTCATGTCAAAAATCACTCCCGATCGGCACTCATAACCCCACGAAGCCCTGAACCTCGCAGAAACTCTCTGAATTGACTTACCCCGGTTTTTAGCCAGCGCTGTGTTCGATATATCGATTTATCTCACACTCCACCCCCGAGAATTCCATTTCGCATTATTCAATTTTCACTTTCCTCTTTGCCTTTATGATGATACAATTTTCAGGTCGTGAAGGAGGAGTGATATCGGCTCGTTGTACCGATATATATGTAAACCCTCTTCCATAACCCTCGGAATATCGAGCAACGTAATTCCAAACGATAAAGAAAAACTTGGGTTGTAGTCATTCTTTTTCTTCCTCCTCCGAGGTATCAGGTAACTCGTTGAAGAAGTTTTTCGAAAAGGGTAAAGGCAAATAGAGTGGTTTAAAGACGATTCACTTTATCAGACTTGGTCGTACCCCCGTGCTTTCATTAATTCCCGTCGTATTTCTCGCTCGTACGTTCCAAGCTAAATCGCCCAAGTGAGAGAGCCCATGCCTCTTTGGTATATGATGGTAATGCCGAGTGGAAAAGAATGAGGAAAAAGTGCAAAAGAGGGGTGGAACGGAAAAGGTCGTTAGCTGCGTGCCACGTACGGTGGGACAACCGGTTCTCTCTCTCCCAGTTATTCGTCGTTAATTCGCCGGAGAGGAGTAAGTAATCGGCGGCGGCGGCTGCAGCGGCGGCGGCAATGGCGGAGTCGCACGAGCATTCACGTCTATACTTGACCACCATGACGGCATATGTGTTATATGCTGGAGTGTCTCGTGAGCACGAGCTGGGGCTGAACTCGACGACGTGTCAAGTTATGTCCCCCCGGCAGTCACTGTGTGGGGCGAGATAAAACGCGAGGAGAGAGAGATAGGTGTCATACCGATCAAACTTGTCGTCTCCGGGGGTGTGTGTGTGCGTTCGCTGGGTACTTTGGGACTTGTTGGAATTTTTATGGGCATTTATAACGCGTGTTTGAGAGTCCTTTGGCGAGACTTAAGTACTTGCAAGATTTTCTCATAATTCGCGCCATCAATGCTCATTTTCCAGAATCGTTAAATTCAATATTTATATTTATACAAATTGCTCGTGCTGGCTTGGCTGGGTTATTAGTAATTTTATTGTTACTTACCGGAGAGGTTGGATGGCATAGAACTGGAGGCTTTTTCTGCAACAGAGGAGAATAAAACATTGTTAGAATTCAAAAAATGACATCTGATGAAGGGTTTTAGAAAATAACAATCAACTTTATGGTAATATTATTTGAATTTAGAGTTACGTTATTCATGATTGGAAAGTGTGATAAATTAATTTTCACCAAACTTAATTTATATTTGTTGAATAATCCTATGATAGTTGACCAGTAATTTTCAAATCAATAGAAAAATCAACAATATATATCTGAATTTTCCTGATTTCTAATTGAACGGAAATTTTTAGTTTACATTGATTTTTCATTGGAAGCATAACTTGCTAAATAATACCAAAAATGTATAGAGAATTCCAATCGGAAATTTCAAACAGTGTAAAATAAAAAATCACAACAAGATTAATGATGTTTCATTAGTTTTTATTTATGAAGCAAATCCTTATTTGACCGTGTGGAAATTTTGTACAATAGCTTGATGGAGGGGACAACAATAAATGGAATCGAAACTTTCACGTCCATTATCCCACATAAATGAAATGCTACGGAGGTTAGAGCATTCCGCTCACGCTATATACGTACAGCCCAAGTATTATGTTATATTTCATACTTCTCCCAACGCGGAAACTACGGGATAATTTGAGGAGAATGGACTGCAATTATTCGATGGGGTGTGCATACGTAAGGAGGGTGCGCTCTGTCTCGTCACTCCACTTGCATTCACTTCCTTTAATTTTCTCCCTCACTCAGTGTTGTCCTCCTTCATGTGTCCACTGTCCAAACTAATAATCGAAATAAGAAGTTTTACACAGTTCATCGTGCAAATCCATTCGTCGATTTCACCCGCGTGACAATATCAAGCCGTACGATTATTTTCCGCTTTGTACACTTATGTACTTGTATTGTGGCATTTATGGAGTAGAACTTTTAGCTGCAATTTAGTCTAAGTTTGTGGTTGTAGGCATACGTGAGAGCTAAACGACACGCGACCCACTGAGGGAAAGTTAATGAATATTGAATTTCGAAGCCATCAAGAACATTTCTTAACACAGTGAAGCCGTTAATTAGCGGCTGTAATTGAATTCGAGTATTAACACCGATAGACAATTGAATCAAACGATTCAAGGGATGACAGCGAGAACACGATGTGGATGAAAATCGAGCCCATTGGTTCATTTAGATTTTCTCGCTGAAATTTGTAGGAAAAATCCCGGAATTTCAGGACAGAAGAAAATGACTATAATTTAATTTTTAATGTTATGAATTTGAATTCAAATAAAATCAAGGCACTTTGGCTCTGGAATCCAGTACTGAAGGTTCTTAAAATAACAAGAGTTCAGAAAACCAGATTTTTTTTCTATGTGTGCAAATGAAATCTTGATAAATTCAGAATTCAGAACAATAATTGACAGAATTGTGACAATTTCCAAAATTTGAATTGCATTGAGTACTAAAAAAAAATAAAATGATTTGCCAACACCATGTGGAAATTTCACTTTAAAAATTCCACCCGGATATCCTTAACCACTCTCTTATCATTACGATTATATTTTGGCATTTCATGGAGCCACTCTGTGTGAGTAACACGTGCCAACCGGTCACGTGGTACTCCCGGTTAGTGTGCAGGAATTTCTTATCCGTGCGGTGAAATGAGAATTTGTGTGCGACGTCGAGTAGAAGTGCACTATAGCCGCAAGGGAGTTGGAGAAGCCCGTGAGAGGGGGTGTGAAGGGACGATTATGAGCGGGTAAGTGGCGCCGTCCAGTTTTTACTCACCCCCCCCCCCCCCG